TGAAAAAAAAGAAAATGATGTGCTTCAGGAAGCATCGAGTCAGGAAGGAAGAAAGGTGTTAGAACACCTATATATGGTCTAGAGGATATGTACACAAAACTTTTAATACAAATTTATTGTGATCCTTAGGATGAGTGGGCATACTTTTGACAAGCAAACAAGAAAAGCAGGTCAGAAGCTAGGGTTAATCCCAAACGAACATGCCCTTCTAAGATCACATTATTTATTTGAGTAGATAGTATATTCCTCGAAGCAGTTCGACTAAATAACATACTTATACACTTTTTTAATCGTCAGCGGGAGAAGCCAAGTGATAGCCATATATGAACGAGAGCTAGATGTTGTCTATATCATTTACTGCTTTATTTATATATTATAACAACTTAAACATAATATGATGCATCATCAGCGAAAAAGATAACAAACTCTTTTTAGGGCATTGGGAAAGTCATTAACAAATACTAGAAATAATAAAGGTATCAAGTACTGACCTCTGTGGCACCGAACATAATATGATTTTCTCCGGTGATGTATGTTCATCAGTTATGGGTCATAACTGATGGTGACGACTCTCCTGCTTTCCAGATAGTTCTTAAACCGTTTTAATAACGATTATGAAATGCCGGCACTATCAAGCTTTGATAAAGGATCCTAGTTAGAATACACGATCAAAGGCTTTCGAAAAATCTAAAAACGTGCCGAGAACTGTAGCACCAGAATTGAAAGAGCTGTCCATGTGGTGATTTGGACTAGCTGAGTGGTAGTAGGGCATCCTCTTGAATTAACTCAGTTAAACATGCTTTATAACCATCTTCTTTGTTTAGAAAATCAGACATTTTATTCAAAGTGTTTTCGTCTAAAAGTTGTTCATTAAATTTAATTTTATTATAACTACGATCTATAAATGTCGGTAATAATATAGCCGATGCATGTAAAAAATGTAAAAATAATTTTGTACAACAATTTGCATTATCAAATGATGGATCAAGATTATCATGGTGATAATCAATAAATAATTTTTTCCATTTATACCAATTTTCTTGCTGTCCACCATCCAACGATGCAAAATAATCTAATATGTGGAAAATAGACACTTTATCATTGTCATTATCCAAATCATAAAAAGATAGAAGATTCCCTGATGGAAACCATTTTTGTTTTAATTGTCGATAATCATTATTATTATTTATTAAACATTGTTTATTTAACAGCAACATCGAACAATTGGGCAGTAATCGAATCATTTTAGCATCCACAATAACTAAAAGCTCATAATCTAAGTTTTACACATAAAAAGACAGAACATGTAAGACAAGAAAAACTGTCACATTTATAAAAATCTTTTTATTTCATTGATATAATGTGTGACGACTTTATATATTATAGACTTTTGCTCATGATCGGTCAATGAAGGACTAGATAGAGCAAAAGTTCAGAAGGCATGTGACTTGATCCTAATATAGATTGCAAGCGAAACAAGAGTTTTTACTACTAATCTTAAATGGCCACTAGATAATTAATCAGAGCTAATAATATGGTTAGAATTTTCTAGCTTGCAATACAACTTAAAAAAAATCACTTTTATGATAGAGCGTGGTTTTTTTAGACTTCTTGGGTGTGAGAGACTTATATTTCCTTTACTTATAAGTCCTTGAGAGGTTATTGTACGTGTGCTTTATAATACGTAGTGTATGTATATTATACTTTTATTACGACCACTCTTTAAAAAACATTACAACCTACTAAAACTAAAAAAACTATTCGGTTCCATATATCTTCTACTACATGCCAAAAGATAAAAAGGAAACAAAAAAGAACGAGAAAAAGAAAAAGAACAGGAACAATGAGACAACAAAACTACCAACAAAGACAGACCAGAACAAAACAAACTAACATACATGTATACGAAGATAATTTGTACATAGTGGAAAGAGAGGTTGTGACAAATAATTGTCACATTGGGTCTTCACAGTTTTTCAAATTTTTCTCCATGAAGAAAGAGCTTTTAAGAGCTGCCATGGTGATATTTGAGATCAGCTCGATGCAGCGAATCAGAATATGTATAATAAAGTCAGAAAAAAATTTACTGCAATTTTGAATTAGCTGCACCTTATAATTTGCATAGTTTTCTTGATCGAAGTTCTAAAACAACTAAAGTTTAAGTATGGTTTTGTAGAGCATTTCGCGGCACATCTTTTGGAAAAAAGACTAACGTTAGGGTTCTAAAGAAATACGAGAAATAGAAAATACTGAGACTGCCATTCATTCTGCGCCACCCGTTATAACAGAAAAGATTGTTGAGCTTGTCGTAATTGAATGGAATCTTTGTTAGAATCGTAGTACGTCTCATTTTGTAGAACTCGGGTTTTTTTACACGTTTTTATACAAAACGTTTGAGTTACAAAATAACATATTATGGAATGCATACGATCGTAACTACATATGTTGTTACTGATAATATGACTGCACTCTTGATTTTCTTTGCCTTCCATAGACAGTTCAGTTCTTCTTTTGCTCCCTCTCCGATATTAGAATAACTATTTCGAACCTACACAATTTATCGTGTGGTGAAATAACATCTCTTTTTATAGCGCTTTGTACATTTTTCTGATCATGAACTTAGGCTGTTCAAAACATTAAAAACGAAGATGAAAAGTAAGTCTTAAAAATACATTATATATAATTTTTAATACTTTTTGAAGAAAATAATCCTTTGTTTTTATTTTTTTACTTCGTATTGCTTCGTCTTTGGTAGTACAAATGTATTTGCTTTCGAACAGTTTTTAACAATTTTTGTGTGTGCTAGCCTAAGAAGCACTGTAGTTTTGTTTTTGTTATTGAATATCATAGTGTAGAACATCATTTAACGTTGGTAAATGATCACGTGAAATTAGTGCTCTGGGGGGCGACCTAGGAACAAATGATGTGATAGTAGAAACAAAGGAACGCTAAAGCTATTTGTTAGAATTGACGATGAAGAAATAGGAATCGACATCAATAAAATATTTCTTGATAATGAGCGTGCTGCTAATGCATCACTCCTAGAGTATACAGAAGTTTGCAAAGTCCGTTGGACTATTTACTCAGGTGACACTTTATATTTACTTTAAGTTCATTGACAATTAAAATCATATCATCATCTGTTAGCTGGAGATTATATATAGTTAAATAATGATCATGATCACTTTTCTGTTTATTTATTTTCTTTTCCAATTGTTTATTTTGATACGGAGAACTATTATACAGCCAGAAGTTCATGGTCAGAAAAATGTACAAAGAGCTATAAAGAGAGATGTTATTTCATCACACGATGAATTGTGTATGTTCGAAATAGTTATTCTAATATCAGAGAGGGAGCAAAAGAAGAACTGAAGTGTCAACCGGATGAGGTGTAGAGGTAACACTTTTACCATCAATCACAGCCATCAAATTGTTCTCATTCAGTAACAAAATCTTTTCGCTGTGCGACTGATTTCGAGTATGAAAAATTTTATTTTTAACCGTAATCAGTATGTGGTATTGTCTAATTATCGAAAATTTCGACTTTACTATCAACATCAAAACTGTACTTATCAATTAATTAAAAATTAGGAATTAGTTTTGTAAGAGTCTCACCCGAAGAAGTACAATGTGATTAATACATGATGCAATTACCATGTGATTAATCGACGATGCAATTACTATGTATATCATTGTCAGCTGGAAAACCGAAAGTCTTCCATTCTGATTTCTTTTAACAATGGTGTAGTATCATAAGTAATCACTAATCACGTTGCCAGCTACAGTTTTCTTTATCTCTGTGTTTAGATTCGTGGATAAATTAAGCACAACAGATTACAGATATAAGAAATAATCGAGGTAAATTACTATTTATGTCAAAATATAATGTGAATGGCTATTCTTTGAAATAACTCTTGAACATTGAACAAAAAGAGCTATAAATTCGAGGTTTTCATCAAGCAAAAGAGCAGATCTGAAGACGTTTTTTCACATGAAAAAACAGTTAAAAAATTATCTTCTGAAGTAGGACGTTCGAAGAATCTCTAGATTAATCAATCTGAGTATGTACATCTGATATGTTCCACAATTTACAAAAGTTTTTGCGCTTCACTTAAAACCAGTCTAGTTTTATAGACCGCCCTGGGCTGCGTAAGGATGAAGTATATGTTATTTAAATATATATTCTCGTTGGTTTAAACTTGGACGTTGATAAAAATAACTTTATATAGGCTTTCTTACATTTTAAGTTCAATTACGATCATAAAAAAGCTGCTTTTCTGAATTTTTATATGATACTTAAGATCGTCATTATGGTAACCACCACCGTTTCTCAAATTTCGATATCTTCGACCTTAAATGAAACATCCTTCAAAGTTTTACAGAATATAGTTTATGTTTCATTTTTTAATAAAAACGTTGAGCATTTCGCTGAAAAAAAGGAAAAACATTGTTGTAAAATTTATCGCGATACTCATTAATTCACATTAAGATTGGCGCCGAATAGGATAATTTTCATGGAAGAGTAAAAGTCATTTTTCTTGGTTTCTGCATCAGCTGTTAAGGCAGAAAAGAACTTGTCTTCTACTTTGTGCGTAAAGCATATCACCAGTCGAGTTTCTTGTTCTACTTCTTGCAAGATTCTTGTCTCGTGTAGTATCAGCCAAGAATCTTGTTAAATAGTTTATATATATTTCTATGTCAAGATTCTTGGCTGAAATCACAAAATAGAAGTTTCAGCTAAGAATCTTATCATAAGTTTCAAGAATCTTGTCTTGTCATTCGTAAAAGAACCTTGCAAACAGAAAAATGCATATATAATTCACTTTTCATCTTTTTTCTTCCCATGTCAGACTAGAATCTTTCACGTAAAAAGATGCAAAATCAACAAAAAATTAAAAGAAGAATTTTGTTTGCTCTATCAAAACAAATTTAAAAGTTCTTGTCTGAAATGGCAAGAGATAACCCATGTCATCAGAACCGCTAAAATACCGCCGCTTACCGCAGCGGTCATCGCCGAGTATAATGGGAGGTTAACCTAATGGACATGTGAAACTACCGCACGGTCTACCGAACCGCGCGGTATACCGGTCGGTTGTACCGGCAGTATCAACCGGTATTTTATCAGTGTGAACAAACAGTACAGGAGTTCGAATCTAGTTCTCAGCTTTCTTTTTTTTTGCCGTGCGCATACAGCGCAATAAGGTTTCCAAAGGGAAATAGGACAAGAAAGTCGACCGGTGTATGTTAGTGACAGGACAAAAAAAGGGTAGGACGGCAAAATGTGTGTAATTACATACACATCCATGTCATCACATACATACTGTTCTCAGTTTTTCTATTCCAAGTGATAACTAGATGCGAAGAATCTTAATAAGTCTCTCTACTGCACTCATGATACTGACGGCAAACGTTCTCTATCTCTATGTATAACATTCCCTTCTTCTCTTCCACCTTTCACACTATAATTAATCATGTGTTAATTATCACGATCGTGAAAAGTGTCTCTCAAGTCTCAACTTTTGAGTGTCCCTCTTTAGGGCTCTGTAAGTTTTATATTCTCTTTTCTATGACTTGAAGTTATCGAGATCGACGGGCAGAAAAACGCACTCGAAGTGTAGAGAAAGAAAGAAGAATTTGCGGACTCTGGAGAAAAGCAATAAGTCGACAGTTCACTACGTTCACTTAGTCGGCTTAATGATGTACATGGCAATTGCGTCATCCATGAATCACATCTTACTTCTTCAAGTGTTACTAAGAACTACTAAAAAGTACTCATACATTAATTATGACTTGTAAAATTTGTTCCGATAATTCTGAAACAAAAAAAAAACTATCTACAATTTCACGACATTCATTTATTGTTTCGAGATAAGCATATTCATTATGGACTGCTATTTTTTAGTTATTCTCGTTTATCATAACACACAAGAGAAGTTGCATCGATATAAAAGCATACAGTAATTCATACTTTTATTTATTTAAAGCTAAAATGTCCGATCAACCATGTTCATTAACAAGTTTAAACCGTCAGTTGCTTACACTGGATGGTTTATGCATAATCGATAGTGCAAACGAAGAGCAACAAGTAGCTGCAACACTGATTCAGTGAGTATTTGCGAGTAAGAATAATATCAGGTTTACTGATAAAGTCATTAGAACAAAAACATTATGATCCATTGTACCACATGTTGTACGCTGCCGTCCATCTGTTCAAGCACTTGAGGCTAATACTCGCGTTGATAGTATGTTGAACATGATTATGAAGTCACATATACATAAGATTAAGTAAACGTGTGTCTTTCTCCTCTGTTAAGAACAAAACGATCATAGTATGATCGTTTTGTCCTTAACAGAAGAGAATAGTATTCAATAACAGAATTCAGCTTTCAAACAGTAAGTCAGACGAGTAGATAAAATGAATTTACACAGAATGTACTAAACTATAATGCTTTATTTTTTATTTTTTAAGATGAAAAGTATATGTCAAACTATACACCATCTGTATCCATCGTTAATACAACTTCGGATGGTAAGGTTATGTTTTGAAATGACAGTGTTTCGTATTTTGTAATCTTTGCTCATGAGATGCATCGAACAAGCAACTGCTTTGACTATTTTTATTAAACTTATCTTTTAAAATAACGAAAAGATGAGTAATAATGATAATAAAATATTGTGCTTTTAGAGCCTAACATTGCATTGCGGGAAGTGTCGAACGAAACTGTTACAAAGACGTCATCCTTTGAATCGAGTACTTCCGAAACCATAAACAAAATAGTTCAAAGTAAATACCAAGAAAAAAATAATCTTAGAAAAGTATAGTAATGCGTTGTGTACTTAGATAATAAATCAGACAATAATCCACCATCCATTTTGGATACTTACGATCACATAAAATCACTTAATGCGGCACTTGGTTTAATAATATCTCGAATCAATTTTGGTGCTTCTTACATGCATTTTCGAGAACAAGACGTATTGTGTAAGTACATAAATACGAATCATCTAAATTCATATAATTTTCTCTTGGATTTCTCATGTTTTCTATATTTTTTTCTCGAAGTATTAAAATGACGCAGTCAATGAATTTAATGCACACAATATTGATAGTTATGACTCTCCTGCCACATTATGTTCAGCGTTAGAAAATGATTTCAATATGCTGATGAAAATTATTCAGACTGGATTCCGAATTTCTAATGATACAAATATGTCTCAATCACTGGACCATAAAATTCTTTAAATTGTATAAATTTATAGGAAATCGAGAATCAGATGAAGAGAAATCAACAGGTGGTTCGTGCAAGTAGTCATTCAGTGTTTATTTTTTAATATAATCGGGTTATGCCATATAGTTCCCACGAATCAACAGTCCGTCGCACTATCAGAGTCAATTTGTGAAAAAATGAACGAATATTATGAATTTCAAACAGAATTATCAACAGGAATAAGTAAGTAATCTAAAAACATGGTAAACTTCTTTGTCCAATGATCACGTTAAACTTAATTCAGTACTTATGAGTGATGCATTATTGTCAGTGGTAATAATCAACAATAACGAACAAAATTTGATTGAAAGTCTTGATATTCAAGATCAACCGTCAGTTTATCAACACAAACGCAGTGCACGAGAAATAGAAAAAGGCGCTGCGTATATACAAGGTGTATCAAAACAAAACGGAAATAAAAAAACTCAGCGTAATCCAAAAACACTAGTACGTGTAAAAACACAAATACTGATAAAAAATAATAAAATTTTCTTATGTTTTTCATATAGATCAAAGAAGAGTGGAGGCAAATGTATGATGCACAATTGTATATGCAAGTTCAATTGTGTAAATTTAATGGTGAAAAACATCCTTATCCGTTATGTCCACCACAAGTCAAGATTGATCAATATTCGCATGAAATAAATCAGAAAATTCAAAATACAAAAAACAGACAGATCCCTATAAATATTGAAAATCATGATGAAGTATATTGCGCAGAAACAAACTCAATTCTATATCCAATAACGGATTCGGATTTTAAATGTCAATCAAAGAGGTATGCAAGTGTTTATTAGCTGAGTTACACTAATTTATCCTACATTTGCAAAAAAATGTAGGATTTTGACTCGATGACAAAGGTTGTTTTAAGAGATAATGTGCACAGTCATTGAGAGAGCACATTATCGTGTTGGAAAATAGTTTGTAAAAAACAGCATTCAGAGTTAATCATGAATCCCAGCTTTGTGTAAATTAAAAAAAATCGATCTTTTTGGTATTTTAATTATTTCTGATCCGTTCTCTACACTCAAATATTGCATCGTACATAAATTGAAAGAAGAGAAAAGCCGGAATAAAATGTGATATTTTTTAAGTTTTAAGATTGAAATTTAATGAGGGAAGAATTAAAATTAATGGAAGAAAAACATTTGTTTAAAGCAGCTGTTACAGAGTCAGAGCTCATTTACCCTAAAAAAGTTCTTATCCCACTTCAAGAACACTACAAAATGAGCTATTTTAAGTCAAAGTCAAAGTGATGATGCTTCATATTTAAAAGTTACAATGAGTAACGCTACTTATTATTTTGTTGCGACAAATATTTTTGACGCGAAAGACTGCACTTAAGTAGAAAAATAAGCTCGGTGTGATTCAAAGACATATGTCTACTAATATTCGAATTCGTATTTGAATGATCTTTTCGTGAATATCATTTCTTATGTCTGATGATTATTGTTGTTTCTCTGTTTTTCTACATAGTTGTATGAGATGCTGTAAAATTGCTCTTCTCATGTATGATACATTTTCTTCTCATCATCGAACTCTCAGTTTATGAAACTGACAAGCTTTTATGAAATATCTTGTTTTAGTGGAATATTCTGATAACTTTTCATCGAAACCTTATCGCTTTTTAGATAACATTGGTCTTAGCTCTAATTATACCCTCATATCCTCCTCCCTGAATTCTTGTGAAAGAGGAAGAATATGGAGTGAAATTTGTAAAGGAAGAAATTGTCGATCTGAAAATTCTACTCACGCATAGCCCTTCTCCCTCCCACTAACTGTTCACTAACGCGAACCAACGAATATTACTGAATATACATTGTATACGCGGACAAACTAACTCGGACAAGCTACCGGAGAAACTAATAAGTTAATAAGTAATAATAAGTTTCCGACCAGATAATGATCCCGCTTACCTATGTTCAATATCTACCCGAACGGTCTCTTACTACAGAACATTTCTTGCAGCTATCGAGCAAAAATACTTACACCGTAACAAAGTGAAATTAGTGGTAACATAAAACAATCGATTAAAAATAATAAGTTAAAACTATCCAGACTAGGGGTGGCACATTTTCTTTACTGATGCGTTACTTTACTGAGTAAAGCAACGCTTTCAAATATCACCGTATGAGTGACGAACAACCCCGAAAATGTATTGTTTTATCACCTTGCGGACACAATGCGACTAAAGCGTTACTATATTATGCGTTACTGGTAACGAGTAACGCAAACGTTACTGCGTTACTAGAAAAGTAACGCAAAAAAGCGTTAAAGTAACGCAATAACGCATGCGTTACTCGTTACCAGTAACGCAATAACGCATGCGTTACTGCATTACCTGTAAAGAAACGGTAAAGCGCCACCCTTATTTAGTACTCTTAGTTATCTGTTATATATTTCATTTAGGGAGCATTTCAAAATGTATGCCGGTCGCTTGACCGCTCTGCCGTTCGGTCGGTCGCAGGTCGTTCTGCCGCTCGGTCCGTCGCTTTGCCGTTCTGCCGCAGTGAAATTCTAATTTATTTTATTTTATTTCGGTTCCTTTGATTGTATCGTGGATACATACATACATACATTGGCATATATATATACTCCCAATTTATTCGTTTTTTAACAGACATCATTATAAGAGCAGATATTTTTCTGTTTTTCTGCTTAAAGTATAAAATCAGAAAAGAACAAATTTTACATTTTCATCAAATGTTCGTCTTTTATACATTCAAGGAGGAGTGCTCACTGGAAAACTAGTTCGTATCGCACCAACTTTGCGAACAACAATTACACTAATTAGAGAAGATCCATTTCCTATTTTTTTTATACTAGTTTAAAGTACAAGAGTTGCACACGATACTGATCTATTTTCTCTCAAAGTCTAAAAGGGATCCTTTTCTAAAAAATAGATCAGTATCGTGTACAACTCTTGTACTTTAAACTACTATCCATCCCAAAATACAGTGCGGGTGGGTATTTTTTGAACAACTTTTGACGGAAATAGAGACCTGCGGTTTACGCTGTGCACTAGCCAAGGCTTGAGCGGAACTGACACGCTCGGGGAAAGCGTGTTCTGTCCGAACGGCGATAGCTGGAGAGCCGGGACTTGCAGCATTTTGTAGGGTAACGTCCGGACTATGTACGCGAGCGATTTGCGCTGCCATTGTACCGTTCATATCCGACATGTAAAAAAGCTATAACTTTTTTGTTACTGAATGAATCTTAGCGAAATTTTTATATGTTATTTATCTAAACTATGCTCACTACCACTGAAAAAAGCAGCTCAAAGTTGCAAGTGGTTATTGAGTTATTAGCGACTCAATATGAAAAACCATGATT